GGACCGGGCCCGGGGCCCGGGGCCGACACGCGTACGCAGCGCCCCCTGCAGGCCGGGCGGCCCCCCCTCCCTCGCAGCACCGCCCTCACCCCCACGGTGAGTCCTGGCCAATCCCACGGCAGACGCTTGTGCTCCTCACCAATCCGGCGCTGCTAAACTCCCCGCTATTAGCCAATCCCGGCCTGGCGGGGGGTATATAAGGGCGGGTGAGGGAGAGACAAACTTCCTGTCAGGCGCGGCCTTGGTGCGTTGCGGTGTCTCCGCTACGCGAGCTGGGCCGCGCTAAGGGGGTTTATTCCCCCCTCGGTAGCGTCCCTACTTGCCCAGCCGGGCTGAGCTTGTGTGTTTCGACGTCCCTCCGGGCGCCTCAGCGGTGCCACAGGTCCAGCCCGGACTGTACGGGGTGGTGGCATCCTCCCCGCGTGTCTCCTGGGCCCTCGCTCCCCCTTCTCTGGTGGTCTCCCCCGCGCTCCCACCGGCATTTCTTTAGAGGCTGGCAATGAGGTTGTGGTGCTTAACCCTGGCACTCGGTATCCGTGTGCCTGCCGGCTCTGCGGGCCTGGCGTTTCCCTCTCCGAGCAGCCCGTGGAAACACAGCCCTGCCTGTCGCGTGGTTTGGGCTTGGGCCAGCAAGACTCTGCTTGCCCGCTGGCCTGGCAGAGGAGCACGTCGGAGCTGGGCGTCCCTATGCAGCACGCTCCGTTCTCCTGTCCCGTGGTTACGTGTCCTCCTGCCCGAAACAGGTCTTGGGGCAACCGGGGACACGTTTTTGGCATAAAGATGGACGTTTGATGAAGGCTGTTGCTGAAAGCCAGAGCAGTCGCTGGCCAGCTGGAGACACCTGATGTAAGGACCTTTGTGCATCCGAGTCTGCCGAGGAAACCTCCCGGGGAGGCACTGTGCTGTCTGTTGCCGCCAGAACAGCCTGTTTTCTCTGTGGGGTTGATAAGTGATCACGGCCCGACTGCAGTGACTCTCCCCAAACTGGGCTCAACCTGCTCAGCAAACCGGGCCCTTGCCAGCAGCCGTCTCCTCTCCCCAGCAGTGAGGACAGAAGCGCTTGATGTCTCTGCGTACGGATTTCTCACCCCACATCCCTTCTGGCTCTGAGTCACGTCCCCGGGGAGCTCCTGCCCTCACCCAGGTGGAGAAGACTTCTGTCCCAGGGACCTCAAAGACGAGTGACCGGAGCCGTGACGCAGCTCTGCAGTGTGGACACTAAGCGCTGCTGAAGCAGAGCTCACCCTGGGCTGATACGACTGCAACATCCCCGAGCCCGCAGCACGAGCAGGCTGGGCTCCCCCCGGGGCTGGGGCTGGTGGGGTCCGGCAGCCCCCGGTGCTGCCGGGGGCACAGCTTGGCCTGCGCCTCCCTTCTCAAAACCCAGGGCCCCGGTGCTGCCTGTGGCCGGTGGACACTAGAGGGCACCGGGCTCCCATCCTGGGAGCAGGATTAGGCCCAGGGCTGCG